CGAGTGAAGTCGTAATTCTTTATAGATTTTATCAAGTCAAGTCAGCAGTCAAAAATAATGACTCAAGTCTGACTCAAGTCCAAGTCATGTGACTCAAGTCCACACCTCTGGTGGTTAAAGGTGAAATATTGAACATGAACACCAAAGCAACATCTAGTGTGTGCAGGTTGTAGTTACAACGACAGGAGGTTTCCAGTTTCGCTACAGATACGTGAAATTATTTATTTGGGTTCATCTATTGCAGCTTCACCTAAACTCACTCTGGTTTTAGATGTTTTATGGCCTCTCTTCTTCTGAGAAGGACAACAACATCTTCAGGGCTCAGAGGCTGCTTGACTTGCTTAATCCGCCATTTTCCACAGTGTCAGCCTGGCTGTGCTGAGCGGAGTGTTTGACAGCTCGCAATGGTGCCCTCTATTGGCTGGTAGATGTAAACATAAACCCAGTGTTGTGCCCATCAAAATAAATATAGGATAATTTTTAATTAAAATTATAGCTTTTAAAGGAAATACTGTACCTTTGTTCTGCACATCTGTAAATGCTCTGTTGTATTATTTTTTTTATTGAGCTTTTTATTCAGTTGTTCCATGTTCAACCTTTAAATGGTCAATGTGGGGAAGTAGCAGGTGTGTTGTTGAGGGCTGCATACCACTTCTGCAGTTACAGTTCTGTGAAAAATGTGTATAAAGCAGAAGTTCCTCTAAATGGAATGCAGCCCTCATAAATACACCAGAATGCTGTGAAATGGGAGCATTTATTTTGTCTAATTTGTGTTATTTTGTTTTTGTTTTATGTTACAGCTAACTCTCCTCCTTCAAAAGGCCTTGCCTTTGGCCATGGCACACGCTGTTTTTACCAGGTTAAATAAAGGTCATGACCTCACAGGAATATAAAACATAAATATCTTGAAAAGTTTTTCTTCTTGCACAGAGAAAAGTATGCTTTTAACCCTCTGGAGGCAGGCGTTGCAGATTTGCAACAGTTAAAACCTACCTCCCTGGTTACTCCACATACGTATTTCATGAGCATTTTCTAACTCGGAAGTACCCCTGAAGTGTTTTGATAAGAAAGCTGAAAAGTTGTCTGGCTTGGGTTGTGCAGAAACATCCCCATGTTGTCAGTTATGCCAACAAGATGGTGTTCTTCATTCCAAAATGAACTCTAAGAGCTTCAGACCAGCAGTGCAGGAGTAATTTTTGATATTTTGTTTGGGTCTTAAGCCCTGCACCTATTTTGAAGCCTATTCCTCGAAAAATGGTAAAAATGGTATTTAATGGGAAAAATAGTTTAGATAACCTTGCAGTGCTGAGTTTGCTGATTAGTTTGATGGAAATTATTATTATTTCTTCTGTAGTGTGAGGGTTGTTTTGGGCCTGTTAAGGAACTAATATCCCAGAGTCCCCCACCTGGGGGACCCTAGGGTTTAGGGTTAATGTTGGTTCATCCACAGCCAGGACCTGCAGAACCTATCTGTCTCTCCTGTTTCACCTGACTGCTGCACACAGACGACCAGGAAGACAGAAGCAGAAGGGGTCTTAGTGTTTTCTGGTGCGGTTGGAAGCTAGCAGGGTGATTATGTGGAGGTGTGATAGGATCTGCCTTCTGGAAACTCCCCAGTGACTCCCATCTCCCTTCCTGGAGACTCTTTCCCTGTTGCTCAGCAGCTCCTCTGGGTCACAAGACTCATTATCGACACAGTATTTGATAAAATACTTTAGAGGAGAGGTTTCAGACATTATTTACTGTAGTATGAAGTTTATTTGATGCATGTCTGAAATGTCTCTGATTTCTCTGAAACGGTTCCTATTCATCGGGTGTTGCAATCCCTCTTCTGAAGGCGTTCTGTAAAGTCTGCAACGTTTCTCCACCACAGAACCTCAGCGGTGGAGTTTGTGTTCACGATGACATCTGAAAGAGAAATAAAACATGTTCCAATCTAATCTCTTGGTCTCAATTTGGAAAGAAAGCCAAAATCAGATTATATAAAATCCAAACAACCGTGTGTGGCTTTGTTTTTGTGTGTTCATGTGTGTGCGTGCGTGCGTGTGTTTGTGAATGTGAGTGTGAGTGTGAGTGTATGTGTGTGTGTTTGAGTGTGTGTGTGCGTGTGTGTGTGTGTGTGTGTGTGTGTGTGTGTGTGTGTGTGTGTGTGTGTGTGTGTGTGTGTGTGTATGTGTGTGTGTATGTGTGTGTATGTGTGTGTGAGTGTGAGTGTGAGTGTGTGTGTGTGCGTGCGTGCGTGTGTTTGTGAGTGTGTGTGTGTGTGTGTGTGTGTGTGTGTGTGTGTGTGTGTGAGTGAGTGAGTGAGTGTTTTAAACTAAATCTCAAGACAAGTAGCTGCTCTGGACTTGATCTTGTGCAGAGAGACACATAATAATTATCCCTGTCTAGGCTGCATTAAATAACCAGTTATCTCTGTGTGTGTGTGTGAGTGTGTGTCCTCTCCCTACTTAAGTACAGGATCCAGGTAAAGCCTCGTACGAAACGCTGGAATCCTCCATCTTCCAGGAGTGTGTTGTGTTGCTGGAAATTCTTCTCATACCTCCACCCGGTCATGGATCTCCCACGGGGGTGCTCGATTGTTAAAACTGCAAACTTATCTTTTCAACTGCGTGAGACAAAGAAAAGGCTGTTTAAAGATCAGTGTCTGAGTTGAGTCCACGTGAGAGCTGGAAAAGTCAACGTCTCTTAACCTTCCCCATTAATAAACTAAACGTTAGGCTTTACAGATGTTTTTGGCTGAAAAAATAAATCAAAATTCCCTCTGGTTATTTGGAACGTTTTGGAATGGGGTTTTATGGAAGTGTTGTGAACACCAACTGATGGAACAACCTCAGTTTTGAGAAACAGCTAACTTCTAGTTAATTATATGTGAATAAAGACCAGAGCAGATTGCTGTCATCTTACAACACTTCTAATCTAAAAATCAATTCACCTGATAATGGTTTAATAAATGCCGCGTTCCCTAAAGGCTTTCTGAAGGTTACAAAGTGTAAACTTTAGGGAACATTCCCCAAAGGATATTTTAAGCCTCTGATACGGGCTGTTAGGTCCGTCTATAATCAGTCTCAGAGCTTGGTCCACATTGTGTCGAACTCTTTCCTGGTGAGAGTAGAGAACATGCAAACTCCACGCAGAAAGATCCCAGGCCGGGAAGCGAACCCAGGACGTTCTCGCTGCAAGGCAGCAGCTCTAACCACTGCTCCACTGCGCAGCCAGGAAATGTTATGTTAAAATTTTTTTTTCAAAATTGGACCGTCCTACCGTGATCGTTTTTGACCGTGGACACCACGTCGCCGCCAGACCAATGTTTTGTTTTGTAGGGTCCTACCGCGACAATTTTTGGCCGTGGACTAGGGGTTGCACGACTTAATTTTTTTTAAGTCAACAGTCAAGTAATGAAAATCAAGTCGACTTCGACTAGTCGTTGATGACGTCATACACCTGAAGCGGGGGTGGGGGGGTGGGGGGTGGGGGGTGGGGTCGCTAGGTTCGCTGGAGTTTTTGACAATTAAAATTGCGCCCACATTTTCTAAGTTAACACATCTCTTTTGACAACGGTAGTTTCTGCATCCTACTTCAGCCCTCTCCCCCCTCCCCCTGCGCAGTGGCCACAAACTCACTGATGCGCCTGCAGCCTCTCAGAGTTGCTGCTGCTCTAAATGTTCATTTTATTTTATGTTCCTCACTTCTGATTACCTCCAATGGTGTCTGTTTGTTACAACCACCAGGTACAAAAACAAACTTGTTTTTATTTGACAATTTTTCTGCCCTGTCTGTTTATTATCTTCCTGCATCTCCTCTCAGTCCTAAAGAGAAACTGCTACCTGGGTTCATATATATTCACCTCATGAGTTACCTTTGAACTGCAGTTCTAAAAGATCTACCGACCACAAAAACAGCGGAGTGCCGCTGCTCGCCGGCCGACTACAACGGGACCGTTTTTGCTGCGGAGTTCGTGCTGGAGCGGAGCGGAGATAGTGGAATTTTGGGGGTGCGCCGTCACCGGAGAACAAAACAGGTGAAGAGCCTCGCTCCGCAGCAGCGAAACGCATCAGGCACAAATAACAGACAGGAAACATGAAAGGAAATGAGCCAACATGAACGCGTGTTTAATTTGTTTTTGAGGTGGTGACACCTGATTTGGCGGTGCTCAGGACGCAGATGTCTGGAGCGCGTCAACGATCAGAGCTTTGCATGCGCAAACTGGTTAAGATTAGGATGGGGGTGAGGGGAAGGTAAAATTGCAAGAGGGAAAAGGTCACAGTTTGGTTAAATGTCCGTTTTACCGCCGGTGTCAGTACCGACGCTCTGGCACAGCACGTCGCCTCCGCCTCCCGACGCAGGGGCTCATCACCTGCTGGAGGACTGCATCTTGTCAGTCATTATCACGTGACAGCGAGTGGTCAATGACAGGCATAAAAAGTCACTACAGAGCCGTGAAGTCGACTAGTCGACTAGTTCATACAACCCCTACCGTGGACACAGCGTTGCCGTCGGACCAATATTTGCTGGCATGCTATGTTTAACTACACGTAACTAATTGTCAAAATAACTAATATACATATAACTGTAGGCATGCTCACATTTATCTGAATGGGTTTTTAAGACATGTTCTGTTATATATTTTTTATAAATTCGGGCCATCCTACTGCCACCATTTTTGGACGTGGACACCACGTTGGCGTTGGACCAATGTTTGTTGGGTTTAAGATGGTGACAATCCAGTAGGTCTTAATTGGCTCCACTCAGACTAGCCACTAGCTTATCAATCATGTCTCCAAACTGGGGTTGTAGTTCAAACATCAGAAAATGTTTATGTTCATTAGCCTCTGTCTCCCCTTCCAGATCTGAACTATCCCTTAAAGATCTGATTTGGTCTGATTCAACAGCTGTTTAACGCATAAAACGCGTTGATCAGCTTCTGTTTTGCTACGAGACCACCGGGAATGTCTGAATAACTCTAATGAGGGTGTGCACCGTGAAGAAACGGGAATTGCTTGTTTCTGTCTGGATGCTGCGGAGCAGACTGGCTGGAGAGGGAGGAGGAAGAGGAGGAGGAAGAAGAAGTGGGAAGCGCTGTTGTTCCGTCTCACCAGTGTGTAATAGTGATCGGTCAGTGTGTCGCTGACTGCGAGAGGTTCTTGTTGCATTCCGCCAAAGTTTGCCGTGCACTTTCCTCAGAAACTTTTGGGATCGTTTCATTTTATGAGCGGGGTAAAGCGAGTGAAGGTGCCCGAATGGAGAAGCACAAAGGTAGGTGGAGATTTCTGCGAATAAACACGAGAAATTGGCTGTTTTCTTCCGTTGAAGTGGATGCATTTTGTTTGGGCCAACGCAGTGAAAGTAAACATTCACACAGTTCTGAGTGTAAAGAACAACTTTTGTACTTCGGATCTGCAGCAGGTGAAGCCCTCTCAAGGTGAGCTGCATTTAGCTGTGATTGGTCTGACACCTGCCCATTAAAGCACCCAAAACTTGTGATCCGCAGGAAGCAAACTCCACTTTCACCATCTGATGATTATCCATGGCTGTGTGGTTGGTGGTAAAACTGCCTCTGATGTGGCAGCTAATAAACTCCAACGCTGTTGACATAACATTCCTTTATTTATTATGAAGGATGAGCAGCTTAATACTTGACAGAGAGCCAAAACAGTGACTGACAGCTGCTTTGTCAAATGCAGAGGCTCTACGGGACACTGAGAAGCCCTCACTGGTCTGGTTGGACTGGGAACAATGGTCAACCAGTTGGAGTAGCGTGGAATCACCGCAGTTTGAAAGAAAACAGTCTATCTTCCACATTCCTGTTCACCAGCTGACCACACAGACCAGTCTGTTTACCCCCACACTCTCCAGAGTACATAGATGCAGAGGTGTTTCTGTGTGCACCATGTTTCCTGACTGCTCTGAAACAGTGACCTCATTAAACAATTTATTACACCTTACCATCGTTTATTTTAATAAAATGGGTCTGTTTTCTTAACTGGGTGGGTAAAACATCTCTAAAATGTTATTTATAGCTCCAAAAAGACTAATTTGAGTTGTATTATAATGAAACCTAAGCAACAAAATCATTTTATGGTCACATAAGAGCATTTACATGAAAGCAATTGGGAGACATTGTCTTTGAAACCTCATAAATAGCCTGGAGTTTCACTTAAAGCAAAACCTGATATTTAAATCAGCTGTGAAACTGGCTGGTTGAGGCAGCACGCCACCAATAGGAATCCCATGAATTCATAGAGTCAGCTGGAGGGCAGGAATCCTGCACCTGGAAGTGTAGATCTGCAGGAAAAGAGGCTGGTGTGTCGGGAATGACATACAGAAACTGGTGTGGACCCCTTTGGCAGCTGTGAGCAGCATCACCAGGACAGTAAATTAGATACTAACACGCCTCAGGCAGGCAGTAGAGGAGGGGGTAGGATGCAAGGAAAACTTTAGGAAAGTCACGACAATGAGGGAACACTCCCTGATATGATAAGCTGCATGTTGATGAAACCTGGCAGGTTTAGGGTGTTGTCCTGAGGAGCAGCCCAGCAGCCGAGGCCTCGCATTCTCACACCTTGTGCCAGAAAACTAGATCAGATTAGTGGAACCACCTGCAGTTTTTGTTTTGCCGGACTGACCTTTCAGCTTTCGTTGCTCATGTTTCAGAACCATTGTTGGAAAACAGTGTTCTTCAAATCCTAACTGACTCTGCCACATTAAACTTTGTCCTCAGATGCCACCGCATGGTGGAAGACCTCCTCTTCACCAGACACGTTTATTTATTTTCTCCAAATCCGTGTTTTACTGGTAAAGTTCACACCTTTGAATTTGGTTTTCTTCAGAAAGATTACAAACACTTATAGCCTCATTGAACAACCTCAGTTTGGAGAAATTGAGATTACTATTCACTGGAAGAAAAGCTGCTGCTTATTTTACTGGTTGATCTCAAAAGTGCGCAACAATTCATACAAGTTATTTCACTAATTTCTACACTACACCACCGTGCATATTGGGACAGCAATAGCTCAGGAGGCAGAGCGGGTTGTCCAGTAATCGGAAGGTTGCAGGTTTGATCCCGGCTCCAACACATAATCCTGATGTAGTGCTCTTGGGCAAGACACTTAACCCTCCTTGCCCGCTGGTGGTGTTTAGAGGGACTGGTGGCACCTGTCGTCAGCAGCCTCACATCTGTCAGTGTACCCGAGGGCAGCTGTGGCTACAATGTAGCTCATCACCACCAGTGTGTGAATGGATGAATGATACACTGTAGTGTAAAGTGCTTTGGAGTTCTCTGACTCTTAAAGGCGTTATACAAGTGCGGGTCATTTATCATTTCTTTTTTATGGTTATTTGCACAGAATCCATTGTTGACTTGCTGCAGAAATCAATCTAGCCAGCTCCTGCAGAACATCTGACTGGATCTAATTAATAATAGTAATAATAATAATCTGCTGGAATATCCATTAACTGTAAATTTTATAACATTTTAAAACGTTTTGGATTGGAGTTGTTTTTAGATGTTTTGTTACATCTGTGACTAGTTGTTAGCCCACATGTTTGATCAGAACTGATCTCAATCTTAACTGAACTTCTCAGAGTTATTTGATATAAGAGTTATTTGATATAAATAAAATATCAGCTGTTAACAGTCTTCCCACAGAGCTCCATTTCAAAATATCTAAACTTTCCCCATAATAGAACATTTTAAATTATATGAAAGGTAGGTTAATTTTCCAAAACCTCCTCGGATTGAGAACACGTTCAAGTGGTATTTTTGTGGGATTCTCTCCTGTATTGGACACCTTCTTTTCTAAATAAGTCGCAGCATTTTCAGGATAAAACACTGATTTCATTATAATATTAAATCTTGATTTCACCCATAGAATCACCAGGCAAACCCACATTTTCCTCTCTTGTATGGAATCGGTTGTGTTCTGTTGGGGATGTATTGACCTGGATCCAACATTTCAGATGAACAATTCTAAATTTGAGGATGGAATTGGCTAAAAGTTAAAAACTCTGAGTGAAGCGTAACACAATCTCTTTTTAGCACACAAGCGCCCGAGGCTCTTGATGACACCTAAAATAAACGAATCCCATCGTTTCAGCTCCAAAATTCACCAAAAACATGAAGAGAAATGCAGTTATCAGTTTTACTGTTGAGCTAATAGTTTGTTAGCTTTGTTTTTGCTCCTTGTTTATGTCACACAAAGAAACTTCACTTCATTCATTGATGCTGGTGAAGGCCCTCAGTCATCCAGGTCTGGTGAAATGTCTTCAAGAAGCCAAAGAAGCCCAGTTGCCTTCATTTGAACCCTTTTGGATTAATTTATTGATATTTCACTTGGACTGAATTGTTGCAACAGCAGAAGGTTGTTTTTCCACATTTGGAGCTTGCTAAACTTGAGGATATCATAATAGGAGGTGTGTTCATGAGGGTTGCAGATTGCTATTTTGGATGTTTAAAGGTGCATTATGTAGAAATGAAGTAAAAATGACATCCTGTGGTAAAATTTGGTTACCGCAACCACTTTAAACAACTCTGGAGCCTTTTGCTGGTCGTTGTCAAATTACAATTATTGGCGCTGCAGTATTAGTTAGCAGGAGACACGGCAACCCCGCACTCACTGATGGTAAACAGTTACGTCCCTCCTTCCTTTGTTTTGAAAGGAGAAAAACTGACTATCCCAGCCGCCAGCAGGATATGAAATGTGTCGTCGTCGTCTTCTTTCTCCGCTTGTCCGGGTCGCGGGGGCAGCATCCCAACTAGGGAGCTCCAGACCGTCCTCTCCCCGGCCTTCTCCACCAGCTCCTCCGGCAGGACCCCAAGGCGTTCCCGGACCAGATTGGAGATGTAACCTCTCCAACGTGTCCTGGGTCGACCCGGGGGCCTCCTGCCGGCAGGACATGCCCGAAACACCTCCCCGGGGAGGCGTCCAGGAGGCATCCTGACCAGATGCCCAAACCACCTCAACTGGCTCCTTTCGATCCGGAGGAGCAGCGGTTCTACTCCGGGTCCCTCCCGAATGTCCAAGCTCCTCACCCTATCGCTAAGGCTGAGCCCGGCCACCCTATGGAGGAAACTCATTTCGGCCACTTGTATCCGCGATCTTGTTCTTACGGTCATTACCCAAAGCTCATGACCATAGGTGAGGATTGGGATGTAGATCAACCGGTAAATCGAGAGCCTGGCTTTCTGGCTCAGCTCCCTCTTCACCACGACAGATCGGCTCAGCGTTCGCATCACTGCAGATGCTGAACCAGTCCACCTGTCAATCTCCCGATCCCTCCTAACCTCACTCGTGAACAAGACCCCGAGATACTTAAACTCCTCCACTTGAGGTAGGACCTCTCCCCCAACCCGGAGTTGGCAAGCCACCCTTTTCCGGTCGAGAACCATGGTCTCAGATTTGGAGGTGCTGATCCTCATCCCAGCCGCTTCACATTAGACCGCGAACCTACTCAGCAAGAGCTGAAGGTCAGAGCAGGATGAAGCTAAGAGGACCACATCATCCGCAAAAACCAGAGATGAGATTCTCCTGCCACCAAACTCGACACACTCCACACCACGGCTGTGCCTAGAAATTCTGTCCATAAAGGTAATGAACAGAACTGGTGACAAAGGGCAGCCCTGGCAGAGTCCAACACTCACCAGGAACAGGTCCGACTTACTACTGGCTATGCGGTCCAAACTCACGCTCCTCTGGTAAAGGGACTGAATGGCCCTTAACAGAAAGCCACCCACCCCATACTCCTGGAGAGTACCCCACAGGGTGTCAGATATGAAATATGTTTCAGTATAATCTTCTTTCCAAAAAGACTGAAACATTAGACTCTTTTGGGATTTTCCCACTGTAAAATTATCACTATATTCTTACACACTCCGCCTTTAAACTGGCTGAATTATGAGGAATGTGAGATTTGAATTTATTTTCTGGTTGATACGGCGGGGTTCTACTTTCTTAAATGCAACAAAAGCTGTAAAACCCAAAGGTTCATTAAATAGAGATATGTCATCTTAGCTTCTTTTCTTTATATTTCAAAAACAAAATACATTTGATCATTTATTTATTTAACTGTTTAATTTGAAATGGTAAATGGCCTGTATTTGATATAGCGCCTTCTAGAGTCTTGGAACCCCCCAAGGTGCTTTACAACACAATCAGTCATTCACCCATTCACACACACATTCACACACTGGTGGGGATGAGCTACGATGTAGCCACAGCTTCCCTGGGGCGCACTGACAGAGGCGAGGCTGCCGAACA